GTAAATATAAACAAATATTTCTAATATCACATGAAATTGTATGATTCATAATATATAAAATGTATCGAAATTTTAATGAACTTTCAACTGATTAAACCTAATTTTATGTTAAATTTGTATTTCTAATCTATTTTACTTAAAAAATTAATGTATAAATTATATTTAATTAAAATTTTTATACAAATTATAGCTAAAATATTTAGTATTCAATATTTAATAAAAATATTTCTTATCATAGTAGATAATTGTCGAAATTAATCGTAATGAACCGCGCAAAAGCCAATAAATTCAATATTTATTATTACATTCAATTGGGTTCTTCAGTTCTCAATAGATATTTCTTTCACTAGAATAAAATTAACAATTTCAATTGAACCTTTACCATGTAAGGATATATATATATATATATATATATATATATATATATATATACTTTCATAAAGTTCAATATGTGTAATACTCAATTTACCCTCAATATAGTTCAGAAATGCACTTCATTTTATTCAATTGGGGTAGCTATAAGAGCGTTTGAGTAGAGGCTGCGCTTCTAATATCATAAACAACACATCCTTTGCCGAGCTTTCGTAATATTTGTGTTCAAGTAAAAATCATATTATGTGTTAAAAGTAGACTCACGGAGTTCGAGATTATATTATACCTTTCGACCTTGCACTTCTTTATATTTGAATAAACATTATATTTTATGCCTTCAACTATGAGTTGTATATATTACATTAATTTGTATTGAATCACATAAACGGCCTAAAATATCTTATACATAGTTAATAAAGAATTTATTTGAAAAGGCTTCTCTATAAAAATAAAAAACAATTAAACGATCTCGTTAAAGTTAAAAAGTGTTCTATAATAAGAAAAATTAATTCAACAGGGACATTAAGTTTTCGTTCATTATTATTACCTTTATTACATGATGATACATAAGTTTAGTGTTTTATAAAATATGAAGATAAAAGCTATGAAAAAAATGTATTCCGTTAAATTATAGAAGCACTGCTCGTTTTTCATTAGGCTATAATAATTTTCATATACTTGCTTTAGTAGACATCACAACTGGAGCTTAATTTATAATGGATACAAAAAATAAAAGCGAAAATGCTATTTATTAAGTACGATAAAGCAAGTAAGCGATAGGTAAAGATGATTGCGTAAATATGCAAAGACCTGTTATCGTGTTCAAATACAATTATCCAAGTCGACACGGCTACTGCTATTATTTCATCTGACAAAAAAGTACATAACCCACACGCATAATGCGATGAATCATTAAAGCTCCGTCATTATTATCGGCGTAAATTCAATATTTGCCGTTATTCTCTGTCTTGCTCTTTTGCTCTGAAAACATCGGGGCACAGGAGCGTTGGCACAATCAATTATGTGGTACATGTCATCGAGTAATAAGCGCACAACGTCTTGTTTATTCTCTCATTTATTTCACTTGCTTATCATTCCTTTTCCTTTTACGTACATATATATATATATATATATGGGATTCATCAATAATATTCTTTCATTGTATTAGTTTTATGGAGATATTTATCTTCCGATAACTTGAAGAGTATTTTGATTTTGCTGCGTACTAAATTTCATAGCTACACATATGGAAGTGTATGTACACTTTACTTACAAAAGCGTTAAAACATTTTCATTTAGTCTTTGAAGTGGTAAGTCTTATATAGACAATGTTTATAAAATCAAAGTGAACTATTAACAATATACTCGGGCAATTAGCGTTTTTCTTTTTTTAGCTAAATTGTAAGTATCTGACAATTAAATGTACAGAAATTATCTTTATTATTTATCTGTATATATAGCTAGAGGATAAAAGAACAAATGTTATTTATTACTATTCTGATGAAATAAACCGTACATTTATGTTTAATTTATGATTATAGTTGATAATGTATGCATATAAATAATCAACTGCCATTATGATGTTATTGATTTGTAACTATGCTAATCGTATATTTAATAACTAAATATTAGTTTTTAACTATTGTGAATTATTATAGATATTGGTTAGGCTTTTTAATACTTTGCGAATTATTATTGGTATAAGTTAATCTCTTATTTTCTTATGTTATAATACTTATGTTTTCAATAATATCAATGAATTATTTTGCTTCAATTGAACAATCGGTATACTCAATCAAATTAATCAGATAAATTTAACTCTAAGTTAATTTCTAATCCATATTATTATCCATATTCTATAGCACTATTTTATCTGAAAAATTATAGAAAACTTGATGACACGGATTTATTATCGATTATAAATGATTATGTTGAACAATAATTTTAATAGAAATGCAGAATAATCAATTGAAAAGATATAATTAATTAGTCATTGTATTAATATTACAAAAAGTCTATTTATCATTTGGATGTGATTAATCTTATATAATCATAAACACAAAATATAGATTTATCTTAATATCAATACTATATTACATTATTTTTTCTCTTTAATTCATTACAAATAAATTTATTGTTCCACTGCTTTAAATTTATTTGTAATGAATTAAAGAGAAAAAATAATGATAATTATGATAATAAAAGATATCGATATAAAAATAAGCAGCATTTTTATACAATAATTTATTACTAATTAAATGAGTATGATAATATGTATACAATATTCATAGTATTAATATATTTCAATATTACAAGTTTTATTCTTCCCTAATGGCGAATAAACTATACTTTTGGTGAATAGTAAATAGTCTATTTCTAAATAATGTTTGAATTTATTTTCTACGAATAATTTTCTTACAATTTTCTTCCTTTTATTTAAACTTTAAATACCTGGCTCGATTCTATTTTAATATTTTAACAATAGATTTCTTAAATTGTTTAATATTTGCAATTTTCCGTTAATAGCATTTTGGTAATTTTGTTATGAAACTATGTCAATATAGTCTTGCAAAAAAGCAACGAAGTAACTTTTAAAAATAATAAATTTCAACTGAAATTCAACTTTTATTCTTAACTTATTATATTATTAATTATATTTCATGTTTTTTAAATGTACGTTTAATTGTCACAACTACCTCTTCTATAAACGTAATAATTTATAGTACAAGGGTCATTTTAAAATTTTTTATTATTTTATTGCTTATTCCGATTTAATTAACGACAATATATATATATATATATATATATATATATATATATATATCTTTTTCCCGTAAATATAATGTATCATTGATATTATAGATTTAATCAATCATTTATACTTTTTTCCTTCGATATATTTGTTCAAAAATCTGTTTGATATTTAGCAGCTACTGATTGGTATATCTAAAACTAAATACAACAAGGTTGCTTTAAAAATTATTATCCAGTAATCGTAAATATATAATAATATATAAGCCATTGCAAATAAAAATTATAGAAAAGCGTCCTGTCTAAATTATTCTTACCAGTAATTCATATTATTATTCGACAAATTTTCAAAAACAGTAGTAGCCAAGTTATTTCGTCAGACTATTGACTTAAAGTGATACATCAGTCTATAGTGAACAATGAAGATATTCTATTGTTTTAAAAAACGTAGATAATCCTTTATATGCCTCATTGTACATATATTGGAGATAAGCGTAGTTACGAAGTTACGGGATTTGGCTTTAGTTTTCTGAATGTGTGCAATTTCTGGATAACACTCTTGGCGACTAATCCAGAACTAAAATTAAATAAAAAAATATAAAGTGTATTTATTTATTATCCATATTTATTTATATTTATGTTATATTAATTGTATTAATAATTGAATTAAATTTATAATAGACAGCTAATATTTATTAATAATTCGTGAAGAAATTATGATATAAGATATACTGGGGATGTAGTTAAACCTAAATTTCTAAGATTTTATTACATTTTATTTATTACATTAACTTTTTGTAATGAAAATTTTGAAACATCAAAAGTTTTTTTTTTAGATTTGTTGACAATTTTCAATAAAGAAAAATGTTATAAAAATAAATTTATGTTTCATTTTGATACTAAGAAAGCTTCAACGTTTTTTAATGAATGTATAAATAAAATTTCAGTAATGTATTTACCGATTTAATATCGACTTTTTAATATGAAATTTACGAACTACTTTAATCTTATAGTTTTCACACAATATTTTTTCGTGTTTTAATACATTATATAAATAATCTAAAGTAAAATCAATATTTCTATTAGTTGATATTGCTTAAACTATGTAAAGTATTAATTATTTTAGATTTTTCTTTATATATATATATAATTATCTATTACTTAAAAAAAAAGCGATAAAGACTGTAGTATATCAAATACTTATTAGTACAATTTTGGAATTGCTTTATCTTTAAATAGAATCAAATCGAACGAATAGCACCAAGTTTAATTAAAGCTTTTGAAATTTATTAAGTAGTTACCGATGCTAAAAAATTATTTTAATAACTTTAAGCAAGCCAATATTTCATAATTAAATTATACATAACTTAATTATAATTTAAGCTATATTATTTTTAAATTACCCAATTTATCGTCCATCTTCTGTGAAGGAAAATTTAATTTTAAACTGAAATATTTTCATTAAATCAAGGTAGATAGATACGGCATTTTTTATTGATCCACGCGAGTAGCTGAAACTCTGAAATTCAGGTTAATAAATTATTATATTTTAAATCCTTAAACAGAATGATTATTAAAGTTTCATAAATTCTAAAAATTTATAAGAATTGTAGTTGGAATTAACATTAATTATAGAGTTATAAGGTCAGTGAATGTAGAATTAATGGACGTGCGTCGATGACAATGCCGATTTGTGTATTTTTTCTCTATTTAACCTATTGTAATCAATATAATCTCTTATACGTCGATTTATCTCTTTATCTCAATGATCTTTTATTTATCAAAACGGTCATTTTAAAAGAACAAAGCCACCAACTCGCCGCCGACACTCTATTTCCAGTGCTAATCCCTGTGTATTTTAATGCTTCAACTTGCAGATAAATCCGAGTACGATGTACGTGAGCAGCAAGAAGCTCAAGGGAATGGCGAGTCCGGCTCGTTGGAGTCCCCGCGAAACGCCATCGCCGAGAAGAGCCCGAGCAGTATCAAGCAGCGTGATTCGCTGTGCCCGCGCACAATCAAAACCAGCGGCGAGGAGTTCGCCTCTGCGAAGACGGTGCCGCCACTCAGACTGAAAAAGATATCCAAGTCCCGGGATGAGCCGTCTTGGGCCGCGCGCACGATATCGACCGCGGAGTCCGATACCGAGAAAGACTCTGGCGACGATTGTGCCCTCGTGACGCGGGACGAGGTAACGAGCTTCGACGAAATGGCTTGTGAGAAATCGAGAGATAGCAGCTCGGTTAAGAGCATCGAGATCGTGATCCCGTCGATGCCGGAGCTGGGGATCAAGGAGACGCGTACCGACAGAATTAGTTTGCCACGGGAAACCATGCCTTCTAAGTCATTCATTATCAACTACATACTCGGAAAGGATACGTAGGTTTTGCTTAACTGCTTTATTTTTGCCTTTTTAATTTCAGCGACTATTTATTAAAAACCTTATGACCTTGTGGACACATAATTAGCCCCTTATTTTCACTGATCTCGTCATATCGGTCGTTTACCATTATTCTAAATCGCATTAAGCGTGTATTAATGAAATGTGATGCTCGAACGATATTTTAACCAGGAATACATAATTATTGCTATTGTTGTTGTATTTCGATTGGCCAAGCTTCTTAGTATATTAATAATCATTGGACTTTACGTTTGAGCGAGACTTTGCTGCTTAATCTTGATTTAAGGAAGTAACGCCGCTCTCGTGCTACAGCTGCTCTAATTTTATTATAATTTCCAGTCACACAGGCTTTATTGGGGAGGAGGAGGAGAAGGAGGAGGAGGAGGAGGAGGAGGAGGATGAGGGGGGCACTTTAACGATTGGAAATATCTATATTCTTACAATTAGTAAAAATTCATTTTGATAGACAAATTAATTAATAATCGCAATATGGATGTAAACATCGAGCTTGTCGCTTATCCCTTCTTAACTTCACTTAAATCAAGCTTTTATTTAAAGTCGAAAGATGTGCAGAAAGAAATTAATACTTAAAAAAAGATCGGGCTCGTCTGCTTTGAGTGAGATTGGCAAGTAATTTAACTTGGACTCTCGAGTGGGAATGTCATAACTAACCTATCGATTCGAATAACGTCTATTAAATTATAGCCTATCCTTACCGATACATATTCACCTGGAAACTCATTCGTAACGTTCACGAGCAAATAGTTTTATAATAAATTGAGATCGTTTGCAGCCAGCCGCCGTCCGTACCAATGAACATTCGTATTCCCACGATGTCGCCCTCGACGGCGGAGAGCTCCGACCCAGTAGGTCACGAGGAGCGAAAGCTTAGTCGAAATCTGAATCGCGAGCACGACCAGAGCGAGACGAGCAACGATCGATTCCAGTCGAGCCCTCTTCGTGGCTCGGATGGCCCGTGCGATACTACAATTTTCAACGAGCCGGTCGACGAATGCCTCAAGCCCGACGGCGATGGCAACAAATACGACGATTGGCTTCTTCGTCGCGAGCAGCTGTGCAACAAGTACCGGGACATTAGAGCTAAGATAATCGAGAGGCGCCGGACGATGAGCGTCCCTGGCTGCTTCCTCGGGGAGAATGAGGGCACCGACAGCTTCGACCGGAGCATCGATCATTACACAAGCGTATTGAAGAGGTTGAACGATATCGGCAACCCCTTCGCGTTTCAAAGTTTCTCCGAGGAGATTGAGAGTAATATGGAGCTCCTGGATAAGGAGATGCTGGGAGAGAGGACGTGTTCGGGTATGAGCGAGCATGCGACAAAGGTCGCGAAGAAAATTGCTCGCTCGCCAATGAATGAGGTGCGTGGTGAAACGAGAAGCGAACGCGATCGACAGATGACATTGAGTAGGTTGAAGGACTCCGGGCACGTCGAAGAAGCTCGCAAAAATTATAATTATCCTATTAGGTTGGTAATAATGAGAAGTTGGTAATAATGACTATATATGTATTATAGAGGCTGGGGAGAAGGGATCGTCGGGGCCTATATTCTTACGTGACAATTAAATATAAATAAAATTAGCTTTAACGCAATGTGGCCATACGAAATCGACGTTCTCTTCAAGTCGGGTAATTTTATTAATAAGAGAGAATATCGCGAGCTATCGAGATCGACAGTATTATTTTAAATAAAAAATTCGTTGAATTATGTTTGTATCGTTATTTTGAACGGCGTTAATGATGTACGAATTAGCTGAATCATATTATTTACCATGAGATTCGATATTATTAGTTCATTATTAAAATAGAAAACATAAGAAAGAAAAAAAGAAGAAAAACCTAATTTTAATAAATTTTAATATTCATTTATTACTGTATGAATAATTTATTCAACATAATTTCACACTTACTTACGTTCATATACAAACATAATTAAATACAAACAGTTTCTTGACAAATTTAGAAGATACTAAAACTAATACGTAATACGAGAAGAATATTTACATATGAATATTCACATAATAGTACCAAAATTATATATATATATATATATATATACATATAAATGTAAAATTCCGTTTTAGATTTTATTTTCTTCCAATTTCAGTGAAGCACAAGAGTTTGACAAAATCATGGCGCATACAAAAGCAACGCCTAAAAGTACCGATAAAGTTGTTACCGAGGCCTTGGATCTCAAGAAAAAGGTTCAATTACACCAGAACGGGTACTCGACAATGTCATCGGACTTTGATGTATTCAAATCGATGCCCGTCCTATCGCACAGTGACTCTATTAAAACGGTATTGCTTTCTCTCTCTCTCTCTCTCTCATGATATTAACAATTTATTTCGATTATATGCAACTAATAATTTATATATATATAAACGGTATTGCTTTCTCTCTCTCTCTCTCTCTCTCTCTCTCTCTCTCTTATTTCGATTATATGCAACTAATAATTTATATATATATAAACGGTATTGCTTTCTCTCTCTCTCTCTCTCTCATGATATTAACAATCTTAGCTATTTTAAAATAAACAATCTAAAGGAATTGTAAGCAATTGTATTAATACATTGTAATTCATTAATATATACGTAGAAAATCAAGTATATTTAATAATAATATACTTTTTAATTGATCAAACGTGTGGAACATATGGAACCAAAAATCAAACATCAATAGTTTTCTTTTATAAGTTCAATAACTTCGATTTAATTACAAACAGTAATATGGGAAAAAATTTCAATCTGTTTTGCGTAGTAAAGCTGCCCGAAAATCCATGGGAATTAAATTTGATATATAAATGTTGGATTTCAACTACATTAATTTTCTAAATAACTTATAGTTCAAAATTTTAAGCTTTGTAAATTACAAAATTATTGAAAAGTTTTAAATAATCAGAAGATATTGATTATTAATAAAGAAAATTGAATACTACATTCCAAAATAAAAATAATACAGTTAATTAAAGTTGAAAAATAAAAAATAATTTTTAACACTTGTTACTTTTTTCTATTATTTGATTTGCTTTTGCTTTTTGTGATTGTCTATTACAATTTTTATTTTATAGTTATAATAAACGGGCATAGAATACAATATACTGCCGATCATTATATTAAACAAACTATATTTTTCAATGTTATTTCGTTTTATTTATGCATAATATTAAAAGAATTTCCAAGACTCATTGATAAAATAATATTAAATTTTATATGCTATTAAAGAAATTTAAAACCATTTTAAAACTTCCCCTACCTCTGAAAGATGAAAAATGAAAAACTGTATTCTTAATTTGATTAAATTATTTAAAATTATAGTACACTTCATTAATTGTGCTTATTGATTTTTCTAATAACTGTCTACTGGGACATAATTCATTATTGCATTTTATTGGGAAAAATTGATTGTTGAAAATTTTTCTTTTATATTTTGCAATACTCTAATAAATTTTTATTAAAAATATCATAATTATAAAATATTACATTCTTTAGGAAATTAGTAATAGACAGTATGTATGTATATATATATATATATATATATATATATATATATATATTTAATAAAAAATAATATAATTTAATACGGAAACTTGAAATTATTAAACGTGATTCGTTCATTTTTTACTTTTTCTAAAAATTAAAAATCCGAATTTAGAATAAATTTAAATGATACAGAATAATTTGGAGTTTATATTATATTAAAATCATAAATATTAAAATTTAAATTTAAAAATCAGCTCGCTTAATATTTATGTAGAGAAATGTGATATATGTTATTAGGTTACACTCAAAGAATAAATATTAGATTAAAATTTAAGATATTATGATTAAACGAATCAACTAAATATTCATATATAATAAAATTAAGTTGCTATATTAGTTCTTTCAATGTGAAAAATAGAGAGAAAAACCAAATTCAAAGTAATTATTAAATATAAATTGTCGTATATTTATGCAAAAGTATAAAGAGGTTTAATTTTGCTTAATCATTTTCTTGAAAACATAGACTGCAAGCAAATTAAGTTTTCATAACATGAACGATCTCTAATGACTTATGTTTTTATAATATCCATAAGAGTACAACCATTGTTGTTTAAAGAAATAAAGAATTCCTCTTTATGGGAATTATGTATATTTCTTTAACAGAACTTGTACTTAAGACTTTGTAACCGGGGGAAATTCGGAATAACCAATTTTTCTTTTGCCTTACTATTTCGTATGGCTTACAGCAATAGTAATTCACTAACCTTCCGATCAAACAAATAATGTTTGAGCCATATTATTCGTGTATTGACGTGAGGTACCTTTTGTTTTCCAATCGTTCAGAATCAGCCGACGAAGGGCTCACAAGCTGATGCATTCTCTTGCAATCCGAGGGAATTGTTAGCCCAGAATCCAGAACAGCTGCACACCTACTCGTCCTTCCTTACCAACCAGCTGAACGTCCCACCAACGTCCACTAATACATTGTTGGCTGCAGTCCTGCGGCCTTTGACTTACCCTCCACATTCACGAGAGACATTGGAGCCTTGGGCCCCATCCAATAGTCCGCGCGAGGCCCTCATCCCCAATAGTATCCCAGGCGCCTGGTCCGATCATCAACATCCCCTCAACAATCCCAGTGGTACGATCGCTGACATTGACGCGGTGAGGCAACGTCATTATCATCATCATCATCATCGTCATCATCACCAGCATCATGAGCAACAGCAACAGCAGCAACACCAACATCAACAGCAGCAACAGCAGCAGAATCAACAACAGCAACAACAGCAACAACAGCAACAACAGCAACAACAGCAACAACAAGGACATCATTATCAGATGCAACAACGAGAGGAAGCACAAATGTATAGGGATAATAAAAAGCCCCTGGATTTGGCGATTAAGAGTCGCAAGAAGAATGCGCAACAGGAGAAATGCCAACAGCAATCGGAAAAGGAGGATAAAAGAAAGAGGCAACGAGGTAAGTTTAGCAGATTTTATGGCGCTTAATAAGTTTCGTAAAACTTTTATTTCAATCGCATCAAATATTTATTGCCTTGATATAGTTCATTGTAGGTTTATAAACATAAATTACAATCACTCCAATTAGAATCACGCTATTCGAATTGTGAATATATTAAAATATTTTTATATTATAATCGTTCGTTCACACGACACTCATTTCATTCTTAGTAGTAGTAGTATCTTTTCAGTTAAATCTCAATTTATGTACTTCTTTGTATGTAAATATTTAAATTAACTTTTGAAATATCAGTGACTTACTTGAAGTGATAAAATATGAAATCAAATTATTCGTTTGCATTATTTGTGTAAATCTGTGGATGATATTTATTTCACGTAGATTTTCATACAAATTATAGATATAGAAATTAATGTTTTTTTTTTTTTTTTTTTTTTTTTTTTTTTTTTTTTTTTGTTATAGTAGCAATCGCCGTATCTAAAAAGGCATTTGCAAATTTTCATTTAATTAAAAATTTTTAATCGCAGTATATATATATATATATACATATATATATTCTTCTTCACTTAAAATATTAGCAGAAATTTTGAAAACATATTAAATTAGAATATCATTATTGTGATTAATTATTGTAAATTTAAAAAACCTTTTATATTATGTTAATATATGTACATTTTTTAGTTTAAATAATTTAATAATTACAATTAATTAGCCATTACAAGTAGATTTATTATATTTTGGTTACGCTTATATAGTGTGAGTTTTGGATTTGGAAATAACCTTTACAAATACATGTAAAATAAACAAAAAAATGATTTATTAGTACTGTTTGTCGAGTAAAATACACAATACATAATATAGTCATCTTTTCACGCGCACGCACGCACACGCACACGCACACGCACACGCACACACACACACACACACATACACACACTCCCTCTCTCTCTCTCTCTCTCTCTATCTGGATTAAATAATAGATATATGAGGAGACATGCATGACATTTAGAATTTGTATACTGGAATAATTGAGATACTTCATGTATCTTTTTATGAATTGGTATACATCTTTAATATTAACTAGACAGGTATTTCTAGACAGACGTCAAGGCAAAAATATAACTCCTATTGCATAACCGAGATGTATGTCCGTTACTTTTTAGTAATTTCACTATCCTGCGATATCGATCTCTCTCTCTCTCTCTCTCTCTCTCTCTCTCTCCAAATTTCTTTTACTTGCTTTTCACCCCTTATCCCACTCGCTCTTTGCTTCTTTCTATCCTTCTTCCCATCTATTTTCGTCTTGATCTTTTACATTTTTCTCACTATTCTCCTTGCCTTTGAACTTCATTTCTCCCATGAATTAAAAAATATGCTGTATGCTCATAAGTACAAACGGACTTGACTCTTAATTAACTATGATTTAAAAAAATTCACAAATAAAAAATTAAAATTATATAACACTATGGGATATGAACTCAGTACTTTAATCATTAGAATATAATTTCACTGAAATAATAATCAACTAGAATAACGATTTTAAACAATTAAAATTGATTAAGAAGTAAAAATACAAATTAAACAAAAAAATATTTAAATTCTGTATTATGAATAACAAAATATTAAATGGTATATATTATTATGATTATGTTGTTAAAATTATAATGAAAATATATTTTCAAATATACTTAAAGAAATTAATTCTTAAATTCACTGATCTTAAAGTTTTAGATATAAAAGATAAAAAACACTTGGAGTGAAACGAAATATTTTATGTTTTTTACAAGTGTGGTTTATCACATTTAGTCATTGAAGACACTAATTCTTTGGAATTCTTTTAAATATATTGAATTTCAGTTAAAAATAAATATCGATTCTTTTAAAATTTAAATGAAGTGAAATGAATAAATAAAATTATAAAAATTACAAGACTAGCCATAATTACATAAAAAAAAAAAAAAAAAAAGACGATCCATAATGTCTTAACAAGTAGATGAAATAAAAAAGGTCACATTAATTTACATTTAAAGAAATTCAGAAAATACTATAGTTGTATTAATCATAATAATGATGTGATTTATATGTAAAGAAGATTTAGAAAAATTTCAAGAATGAATATAATTATTTAACAAAATTTAAATGCATATGTTTATTTGAATTTAACCTCTATGTAATAAAAAATGTATTTTTAACATTTTTAATGATATAAATACAAATTATAAAAATTTTATAATATCTTATTTACTTTACAAATTACATAATATGCGCACGATAAAACGTATAATATTGTTGTGCATAATGATATTTAAGTAATGGGACAGTAATGTGTTGCAATAAAAAATATCAACAGGGTTTTAGAAATAACAGATATGTTTGAAAATATAAATATTATTTCATTCGTTCAACTATCTTTTATAGGCTTCATTATTTCTTCTCATGAATGAAAATATAATGAATTATTAAAATAAATATTCAAATAAAAATAGTCCCAAAGGCAATGATTTTTACATACAAAAAATACTCTTATGAAGAATTTTCAACGAACTTATATTAATACAACAAATGACTGTTAATTCTTTTATAATATTATTTAATGTATAATCTATATAGAAAGTAAAATGTATCGAATATAAAAGAGCTTTAACGATAAAATATGGAATATAATAAATAAATCTCGAAATATCAATAGAAATTCTCATTATTATTATAATTTAATTCGTGGAATTTAGTTTTAGTTTTTAGATATAACTCAAATGAAAGAGGAAAAACAGTAAAAAATATAAGAAAAAATATTTCTATTTGATAAAATTAATTAAATACAAATTTTAATTATCATTGACTTTTTTAATATTTCAATAATTTTGTTAATTATAACATGGACAAGATCGTTCGGTTGATTAGATTTTGTATGCATTTCAAATTTAATATATAATATCAGCAGAGTATTTATCATGTCAGGCAAACTTTTTTGTTCAACATTTAATAAAGCGGCAGCTAGAAAAATGTGATTCTGATGAAATTATATATATATATATATATATATATATATATATATATTATATATATATATAATCATAAATTTATCAAGATTGTATGCAATGTATGCATATTAAAACATAATATGCATTTATTTATTATATACTATCTTGATAAATTCATGATTTATGAAGATTGAAATTACTATTAATTTACATTCATTGATTTATATTATAAAAATTACTTCATAAAATGTTCACTACGAAATATTATCATGGATATTTATATTAAGCTTTCACTAAATTACAAATGTTATTATTATCGTCATAAACATTGATACGCGTATTTTTTGGTAGAATCGTGGTAATGAAAAAATTACTTTTCAAATTACAGTTTATATTATATACAATTAGATATTTTAGATTTTAATTCAATAACATTGATTTATATTTCTTTGGAAAAGTATTATTATTATTATTATTATTATTATTATTATTATTATTATTATTATTATTATTATATAATATTATAATATTATTACTCTATGCGATTAACTATAGATTGCAATAGAAAATCATAAATTCTTCTTTATTTATAGTTAATCCTTATGTTACAGCATAAAATTTTATTTACAGTTTCATTCAAAATTAAATATTATATTTTATCATTTTTACTCATTTTTAGGTCAGATTTGTATTAAGGAGTTAATAGTTCGTATTTGGAAAGTATTTTAACAATAGTATTTTAAACAATATTATAAATAATATATATTATAAATATAATAATATATATTAATAGTAATAATAATATAATAATATTATAGTAATATATATTAATAGTAATAAATAAATATAATAATATATATTATAAATAATAGCATTTTAAATAATATTTTTGTAAAAATAAATACAAAGTATATTGAAAGTTTATAATTCGTTTAAATTACCTTTGAAAAATTAAGGCAATGCGGTACTAAATTCAACTAATTCCTTTTTTATATCTCATTCAATTCTCTTTATTTCGTATAATGTATTTGTAAAAACATTAAAAATTGGACTAACATTTGCTCAATAGACGTGTATGTATATTGTCAAACGACTCCACTGACATTGAGGCTTCAAAATTTCGACAGATATTTGCTGTGTAGCGACGCTGCGGATTATCCGTCCTTCCTCTTCTTGCGCGATTGGCACTTCAGCATTTGTGGTTTTGCTTATTTCCTTTTTCTCGTGGTTTTGCATTTTCTTACTGGTAATGTACTTTAAGAGAAAAATAAAACAACAATGGAATACTCAGAGTGGTATGTGCTCGGCAAAGGGCGGTCCGAGCTCGTCAATTGATGAGTCAACTACCTCCTTCTCGAGTCATACCATCACGACCTTTCACCCATACAGGTGTTGATTATGCCGATCCCTTAATCATAAAGGCATGGAAGGATCGAGGAGCAAAAACTCACAAGGCTTGGATCTGTGTTTTTGCGTGCTTTGCCACATAAGCGGCACATCTCGAGGTAGTCTCTCACTATACAACAGATGGATTCATCTGCTCGCAGAGGCATTCCTCATACGTTATATTCATTCATTATCGTTTAGCAACAAATCCTCTCGAATGACAGTGCTCAATGGGAATTCAATCCACCTGCTACGCCACGCATGGGAGGAAAATGAGAAGCGGAGAAGCCTTTTACTTAGCTTTGGAGAGATCACTGCTCTGCTTGCTCAGTTAGAGGCAATCCTCGACTCAAGAAGATCCAATAGAACGAATGAGTGACGACTCCGAAGACATTTCGGTACTCGCACCAGGGCATTTCCTAATTGGGAGCTCACTTACAGCCATTCCAGAATCATCCCCAAGGAAACTATTCAATTTCAGGATTGTCTCGATGGTAACTTATACAACAACTCGTACAACAGTTGTAGACAAAATGGTAAGCCCACTACTTGCCCGGCGAGAATGGATTGACCAGAGTGGTTACGTTAAAAACAGCTTCAACCACCATGGTGAGATCAATACACAAACTTGCAGTGCTACCAATCACTGTTGAAGAAAAATAATCATTAACGAAATTAATGATCGAACGTTGGCTCTCGGATCTTGTTGATCCCTATAGCTCTCAAATTTCTCTAAACATTTGACTTTGAAAATTCTCAAATATTTGTAATGTTATCGTTTCAAATGTTCGACAATGTTTATTGGGCCTTCGCATAGCAACATCTCTATCCATTGTTGCCATTTACCTAAACGATCGCGTGGATATATAAGGCAAGCACGCTACGAGCCTCTCTCTCTCTCTCTCTCTCTCTCTCTCTCTCTCTCTCTCTATCTATCTATCTATCTATCTATCTATCTATCTATCTATCTCTATCTCTATCTATCTCTATCTCTATCTCTATCTCTATCTCTATCTCTATCTCTATCTCTTAGCATACTCTCACACATACTCTCAGACATCACAATACACCATATGCAGCACTACACCAAGAGATAGAGAGATTTACGAGATTTACCTACCTCTACATGTAGTGCGTGCTACTACCAAGTGGAAATCATCAAGGAACTCAACAAGAATCACAACAACGCTCATTATTAACTGAGAATCATTATACTGTATAATTGTAAAATAAACGCAGCAAACAGCAAGTTTGCAAAAACAGACTTGTTAATTACAAAATAGAAGCACTGTCCCTTCCACTTATCCTCCCTTTCTCCCACCAGTAAACTGGTGGTCAGAGTCTAATCGACCACTGGATGACTGAGATTCTGAACATTTGGTCCTTCGAGTCGGATGTCAATGGAGCTGTTATTTGCACACAACAAGAGGACATGTAGTACAGAGTCTACGATTGCGCGGCGCTCCGTAGGGTCGCAGTCCTTCGCCGCTTCGACCCATCGCTGGCGCGTATCGTTGCCTATGCCCGAAGCTACGAGCTCACGAGTTACGACGGCAACCCACTCGCGGTTCCGGTCACCGAACGTCAGCAGACCGAGGATCTTATAGGACTCGCTCTTGATCCGATCGACAACGGTCACAGCCCGGTGTGAGAGGCTAGAACACTTGGGCTTGCGTTTGGCATGCTCCTTCTGTGGGATCGACCTCTGCTCGTCTAGTGGGTAAGAGGTGCTCAGCGTTCACCTCCCATTGGGTTAGCTGGTGGTCGCGAGCTATGGAGGGGGAAGCGGACCCGGCTCCATTATACGTCAGCCAGTTGAATATGCGGTACCGCTTATTGCGCGACGTTACCGGTTTTGGGCAGCGTTGAGTCAAACATGAACCCATCAATGCTGCCTGTGAAGAAGGGGTTCGTTACGGGTGAGCCCCCCCCCGCTCTAGACACCGTCGTCGTCGCTGCTAAAATCCCCATCAGCAGCATCGGCCTCGGCGAGCGAGTGAGAAATAGCCTGCTGCTCGCTCGGGTGGTGGATGGAAAGAGGGGAGGGGTGGCGCTGCCGGGGCGATAGGAGCGGGGTCACGTCCTTCTGATGGTGCATCGTCACCAGCGGTACCGTCGGCTCGGGAACCTCCTGTACTGTGAAGAATCCAGCAACCGCCAGGCGCCGGCGCGACTCACCAAGATCTTCGCCGTCATCACTATCGGAATCAGGCGGGACAGCGCCGGCCTGATTGCCCTCTTAATATGCATCGAAGAAGCTCCGGGGGGCCGGGTGATCAGCCATCACGGCGTACCTACGGGTGGACCTCCCAAGTTCATGGCCAGCCGGGCATGAGGCCCGG